AGGTAGTTCACATGCCACTGCAAATTATGTTTCTACTTCAGGTAAGTAGGGACCTCCTTGGATTATAGATTCTAGAGCCTTAGAGCACATGACCCATAGTTCCACTATTTTTCTTCTTACCAGCTCTGTTCTGGCAAAGACAGGGTCTCCACAGCTAATGGATCTCATGTTCCCATTGCTGTGAAGGGGTTCATCAAGATTAGTGATTCCATTTCCCTTCTCTCTGTCCTTCATGTTCCCAGATTGAGTACTAATCTGTTATCTGTTAGTAGTTTGATTAAAAACTTGAACTGTTCAGTAATTTTTTCTCCTGGTCATTGTATCTTGCAGGATCTGGATTCAAAGAGGACAATTGGGAGTGGTCGTGAAGTGAATCGAATCTACCTCCTGGATGTTCTTCCTTCTCANTGTTCCCATTGCTGTGAAGGGGTTCATCAAGATTAGTGATTCCATTTCCCTTCTCTCTGTCCTTCATGTTCCCAGATTGAGTACTAATCTGTTATCTGTTAGTAGTTTGATTAAAAACYTKAACTGTTYAGTAATTTTTTCTCCTGGTCATTGTATCTTGCAGGATCTGGATTCAAAGAGGACAATTGGGAGTGGTCGTGAAGTGAATCGAATCTACCTCCTGGATGTTCTTCCTTCTCATCAGAGTCATCATGTCAGCARGGATAGTGAGTCAAGGTCTGTGAGTCAGATTATGCTTTGGCATAATCGTTTAGGTCATTTGCCTTTTTCTTCTTTGACTTTTTTGTTTTCAAAGTTGTTTGAGTCTGTTAGTTTGTCAAGTCTGGAGTGTGAAGGTTGTCAACTTGAAAAACATTGTAGACATTCCTTTAAAGCTAGTAATAAAAGATGTTCATCTCCTTTTGATGTTATTCATTCTGATGTGTGGGGACCTTATCTTGTTCCTTCTTTGGGTGGTTATCGGTATTTTCTCTTATTTGCGGATGATTTCTCTCGATATTTTTGGATTTACTTGATGAGATCCCAATATGAAGTACCATCCTTGGTAAGGCAATTTCATCAGATGGTGCTAACACAGTTTGGAACACGAATAAAGGTGTTCAGATCAGACAATGTCAGGGAATATTTTGAAAAACACCTTGCTTCATATCTGTTAGAATATGGTGTTGTCCATCAGAGCAGCTATTCCTACAGTCAATAGCAAAATGGTGTTGCGGAAAGGAAGAACAGACACATTGTTGAGATTGCAAGAAGTATGATGATCACATCTACAATTCCAGTTCGGTTTTGGGGTGATGTAGTTTTCACAACAGTATTTTTTATTAACAGGGTGCCCTCCCGTATACTTGGATTCAGCATCCCATTTAGCCTCCTTTTTCTTGAGGGGGAGATGTTCCATATTCCTCTCAGAGTGTTTGGGTGTGTTTGCTTTGCATATATTCTTGGTCCTCAACGTTCAAAGCTTGATCCAAAGGCAAAGAAGTGTGTCTTCCTTGGATATGCAGAAAATTAGATAGGGTACTATTGCTATGATCCAATATCAGGGAGTCAGTATGTTACTATGGATGTCACTTTTTTGAGTCCACATACTTCTCAGGGGGAGTGTTTTGGGGAAGTGAGTGAGCAGACTATCCCTCTTCCAGTTCTAGTTCCTATGTCCACTCTTGTGCTTGATCCTCCTATGTCACCTACCTTACCACCTCCCTTGCATCCTACTTCTCAGCGTTACTCACGGCAGGGACTTAACAGGGAGGTTGATTCCACTGCAGCAGAACTCACATTACTTCCTGTCAGTTCCTTGGAGACTCCTGATTCAGTTGATACAGATTCAAGTATTCCTCTTGATCCCTCTATTGTTTCAGTTCCCATTGATTCTACTAACCCCATTACAGATAACCTGGATCTTCCTATTGCTCTTAGAAAAGGGAAGAGAAAGTGTATTGCTCATTGTATTTCACAGTACCTATCCTACAGTGGACTTTCTCCTTCCTACCGAGCTTTTCTTTCCTCTCTTGACTCCGTATCTATACCCAAGGGTGTCAATGAGGCTCTCTCTGAACCTGAATGGAAGATAGCTATGTAGAAAGAGATGGAAGCTTTAATTAAGAATCAGACATGGGAGATTGTGGACCTACCAGAGGGCAAGGAGATTGTTGGATGCGGATGGGTTTACACGATCAAATATAAGGCAGATGGAAGTATAGAAAGGTATAAGGCCAGACTTGTTGCAAAAGGGTACACACAGACCTATATGGTATTGATTACTTAGAGACCTTTGCACCAGTTGCAAAGATGACCTTTGTTCGAATACTTCTTTCTCTTGTTGCTACATACTCTTGGCCCCTGTTTCAACTTGATGTGAAGAATGCTTTCCTAAATGGAGATCTGCCAGAAAAAGTGTATATGGATCTTCCTGCTAGTTTCTACAATGATGTTGAAAAGGGAAAGGTATGCTGACTTAAGAAGTCACTTTATGCCTTAAAGCAGTCTCCCAGAGCATGGTTTGATAGGTTAGAAAAGCCTTGGTTGCTTTTGGCTATACTCAGAGTCAATCTGACCATACCTTGTTTGTGAAGCGAAGGGGATCCTTGGTGTCAGTCCTAATTGTTTATGTGGATGATATTGTTGTCACAGGGAATGACCTAAGTGAGATTGATTGTCTGAA